GAGTTTTGAAAGTAAGAACTCATACTCAAAAGAAAATAAAAATCATTTGTTATTTTCATCATTTAATTACTACTATTGGTATATTTCATGATTCCTGTAGTTTATTTTGTTACAAATGTTTTTACCATATACAGATACCTTATTTATATTAATGCCCCCCCCCCCAAACACACATTGTGAGCTGTTCTTTGAAACATGGCCTTTAATGGCTCTCTGCATAATGGCCCATTGTTTGGAAGGCTGTTGAAGTATTTCACCACTCTCTCTTAGTGGGTGTTGAGGTTAATAATTAATAAGTATAGGGGTTTTGCTGTTACATATAAATCTAGGGTGTTGCTGTTTCCTTACCTGATGAATAGGGTACATTTTTGAAAGTGAAAATACTGTGGTAGGATATAAACAGCTTTAAGACTTTATTACATAGTATTAGATTTCTTCCCAGAAAGATGCACCAAAAGGGTTCTTCCAGGCTTTGTTTACCGAGCAAGTATGGGCAGTTTCACGGTTTTCTGTTTTGTCATCTAGTATGGAGGATTTTTAAATCCCTGTCCTTAATTTAATCAGGAGTTCAAAGGCCATAGCTCAGAAAAAGAGATGACTCCTATAAGTCATGTGCAGGATTGGGTGAGACCTTAAATACTGTGTTTATGCGAAAACAATTGAAGAAATGTGCAGCTTGTGTGTGCTCAGCTTTCTCTTGGGGCTGTTTGGGATTGTGGTTCTGGAAGTTACTTTTTGTGCCTCCTATGTGAGCTATCAATACTGTGGGAAAGAGACCAGAAATTAAAGGTAGCAGGCTTTTTATCTGTTTGAACTTTGGTTGGTTTACACATTATTCCCTGAATAATTTGTATTGTTTTTTAATAATTACTTTTAAAGTGGATGGAAAACAAAAAGTAGATTGAGAATGAATATACATCTTAGAGAACTGTTGCTTTTTTTGTTTCATTGCTTAGTTTTTAAAATAGCTTTAGAGAACAATATTACCTAATAAATTGCCAGTATTAACTTAATTGATTTGAGCCTCTTCCCCAGATCTAATAGAAAGTATGAGATGAACAAACCTGGTTAGTTGCTGGCTTCACATATGTGCTCTCCGTGCTTGGAACCAGAGTTGGGCAGAGGCGTGTTTGTACAGCATTTTGCTAACGCTTAATTAGAACCATTCTTCCTCCTGTGTTTTTATAAAATTGGGGTAGAATTCTGAAGAGTTGGTATTCCACCAGGAACATCCGAGGTTTTTGTGGAGAACGGTGTCTAGTGCTTGGGGTTTCAGAAGCTGTCACCAGCCCCAGGTTCAAGGAAGGACCTTTGAATGTTCTATCTGGAAGGTGTCTTGGGGTTAATCAGTAAGAGGGAGCGATGTCAGCTAGAGAGGAGATCCGGCCTGGGAAGGTAGGTGGGTGTTTTAGTAAGTCAAAACATACTATAGAATAAAAATAAGATTCCAGCAAGTTTTAAGACAAGTCTTTGAATGTAAAGGACACGTGTGTTTATAGTCCGTAGTCCTGGGTCGACCCTGACCCTTGGGGAGCCAAGTTCACTCAACCCTGCTTTCAGTTTCGCCTCAACAGAAAATGAAGAAAACTGCTAAGTCCAGCTGCCCTGCCTGCTCCTGCCAGAGGAGCGAGGCTCGCAGAGGTCAAAGATCCTGCCGGTCACACAGGAAGTGAGTGCAGGAAGTGAGTGTGTGATGGGAGCTCCTAGGGTGGCACTGCAGGCTGACTTCACAGTTCAAGTTCCATATTCCTTCCACACGTATGCAAGTCCTGTCGCCTGGGTCGGAAAGCTCCTCGGGATGAGCTCAGTGCTTATTGAAAGATCATCTCCGGAAGACAGTCCTTATTTCAGCAAAGCTGAGCCTCCGAAGCTAGTGACGGCTCACGGAAGGCCTGTTGACCACTCCACACACCAGACTCAACTTGGTGCCAGGGACTTTCAGGACAAGAAGAGAGCGAGCTGGGCTGGGCGCGGCAACACACTCCTGTAATTCCAGTGACTGAGGCAGGAGAATCACAAGTTCGAGGCCAGCCTCAGCAACTTAGCAAGACCGCATTTCAAAACTAAAAAAATAAACAAAGGGACAAGGGATGAAGCTCAGTGGCTAAAGTGCTCCTAGGTGGGATCCCCGGCACCAAGAAAAATGAGGGAGAGATGCCAGTGTGCCATTTTTGGCCCAGGGCCACAACATCCACAACAGGAGGTGTGTCCCCTCTGAAAGAGATGACCGACACCAAGGACAGTGGGGGAGGGGGTCATTGCTGTGTGTACACATAATTGTGGTCTTTTTTTTTTTAATATTTATTTTTAGGTGTAGATGGACACAACACAGTGCCTTTATTTTTATGTGGTGCTAGTAGGATCGAACCCGGGCCCCTGTGCTAGGCTCTACCGCTGAGCCACAATTCCAGCCCCCAATCGTGGTCTTTTCTTTAAGCCATGTTCAGGTGCCCTGACAGAACCTCTCATGGGTGGAAGTGTAAATGGTGCCCACTGAACCCTGGTTGAAGCACCTACTCATCCCCGTGTCTGTGTTCACACATCCACTGGCTGAATCTCACAGGCACTCTAGTGAGGTGGGAGAGTTCATGGGAAAATGGAACTAGGCCAGCCAGCTCGCTCTGTTCATGTGGAACTCACCTACAAAGGGACAGCGTGATGTCATTTTTTTTTTTTTTTTTTAATGCTTGCTGATGTTACCTCCTTGATTCAACCCCTTACCAGGCTCAGAAGATGAGTCAGGCACAGTAATGTGCACCTGAATCCCAGCTACTCGGGAAGCTGAGGCAGGAGGATCCTGAGTTCAAGGACAGCCTTGAGGACTGGCTCTAGCTCAGCGGTTCCTTCGACAAAAAAAAAAAAAAAGCTTACAATCAAGGACAGCCTTGAACCTGTCTCTCGGTAAAACAAAACATCAGGTGAAATGTTACATTAGAACAGAATCCTGAGGAAAGCTAGTCATGCAGGACTCCACAGAACTTTTACTCCCACTGATAACAAGATAGAATTTTTTCATAGGCATATCCCTAGATTCACTTAAAACTGGGACATCAGCTGGGCACAGTGGTGCACACTTGCAATCCCAGTAGCTCCGGCGGATGAGGCAGGAGGATCACTAGTTCAAAGCCAGCCTCGGCAACTTAGCAAGGCCCTCAGCAGCTCAGTGAGACCCTGTCTCTAAATAAAATACAAAATAGGGATGGGGATGGGGCTCAGTGGTTGAGTGTCCCTGAGTTCAATCCCTGGTACAAAAAATAAATAAAATAAATATGGGGACATCCTACTTTTGGGGAAATGTGATGTGGTTCTATAGTCGAATAAATGAAAGATAGCCTTGAGGTCTTTGAGTAAAGATCTGGAAATTCCTCCTTTTCTGAAATCAATTGACAGGACCTTCGCTCACATTCAGAGTTCTGAGAGCAGGATGCCCAAGTGGTTTGGGACAAGAGGAAGCAGCGGTGGCAGCTGGTGTGACTGGCATTTTGTTGTGCTCCCACCTTGGGAGCACCCACCTTGGGCTTGGTGATTTAGTTTCTGCAGGAGGTCCCTGCAGTGCACGTGACTCGAACTGTTTACTTGGATGAAGAAGAATTTGGTTAAACTTGTGTGAAGATTGAAAGTCACAGATAAGGGGCTCAGTGGTAGAGCACTCGCCTGGCCTGCGGAGAGCCCTAGGTTCAATCCTCAGCATTACATAAGAATAAATAGATAAATTAAGCTACTAACAAATAAGAAGAGAGGAAACTAATATGTATTAAGCCCTGGAGTCCTACCAAGCATGGAACATGTACTGCTTTATTTAATCCTCAGAATATGACATTTTGGGGGCTTTTGTTGTTGTTTACTATGGTCTCACAGGCCACCAGCTTTGGGGATTAGGCTTGGGGAACTGTCCTTTCCCAGACTATCCCTGCAGTCGGCCTCTGTGTCCCATTTTCTTTGCTATGTGCCTTCCTTACCCAGTAGACTGGGGGCCCCGAGGGCAGGAATATGGGGCTGGCCTCCTGCCAGGGGCCTGTCCCAGCCTCTGGACCTGCTCAGGACTGTTTGGGTCTCCCGCACACACCACTTTGAATGAGAACCCTTCCACTAAGCGGACCCAAGTGAACACACAAGCCCCCTCCTGAAAATACCCACGGTAACTAATGGTCGAAGGCACAAGTGCCACAGGTTGCCACCCCTGATGGTGATTTAGTGAGAAATTTCAAAACTATCCCGAAAACTGAAATGAGAGCAGGGAACCCAGCTGCATTCGGTATTTAAATTATTTTTTGGTGAAACCTACACATTAAGAATAAGTTTTCATACTTTGAACGCAGGGTGACTGACATCTGTGGCTTCTGCTGCTAATTGCTTTTTTCTTGTCGTCTCCTGAAAATAAATTGCAGACATTATATTTTGACTCTCTTAATCCAGTTGATCCCTGAACCTCTCTCTCGTCCTTTTCCTCACACTCCTGTTGTCCAGAACAAGACTCGGTTTCATTCCCTGGCTACACCACTTAAGCTGGGAGATGTAATCATTAGTGAAAATTAAAATCCATATTATAACATCTGTGCAGCTTATCAGCAGTGCCATTGCACTGGCCAGTGTTCGGAGATGCACAGACGACTGAAGGTCCTTGACATTTTATTGTGACTCACCACTTCCACAGGTGGTTGTGTGGTACTGGCGTTAGGAAGATCCATATGTAGTAAAAGCTCACTTTTGACATGATGTGAGTAGAGGTTGGTATTTAATAAGGCATCTGGAGAGGAGTAGCTGTTGAGGCCCAGCAGCATGCCCGTTGAATTTTGGAGGTCAGATGGAAGTCCCTTGGTCTGTGGGAGGACTGTTCCCAGCAGGGGGGTTGGGCTGCTGCTTTTTCAGAAATGATTTTGAATTTCCACGTACTGGAATTAAACACTCGAGACTGTGATTGATTTTCTTCACATATGTCTGTGCTGGTGTCGCACAACCGTTGGTTTTAACGTTTCTCCTTTTCAATTTCCCTCACGCAGAAGGAGCTGGCAGACGACACTGACTGCCCTCGGATGTGTGCCTACAAGCTAGTGACCATCAAGTTCAAGTGGTGGGGCTTGCAGAGCAAAGTGGAGAACTTCATTCAGAAGGTAACATCTGTTGAGAACGTGGTGCCTTGGGACCAGGTTCAGATTTGAGGTAGCTACTGGGGGGAGATTTTTTTCTGCTATTACTTTTTATCCCTCCATTATGAGATGAAAATTATTTGTGCAATCAGTTTCTGCCCTTTTTATCCTTAGAAACCACAAAGACAGGTGCCAGAGTGGGTAGGCTTTGCCTCCTGAAGGTTCCGCTGCCCCACCCCGTCTTTGTGACACACACAACTGTGCCTTCATGTGGGGGTCCCTAGAGGTGCTCATGAGAGCAGGGCACTCTGAATTAACTTTACATGATCTGAGGACCCAGATCCTAATTGGCTTTTGTTTTTTTGTCCTTATCACTAAAGGGAAAGCAACGTATAGGTAGTTCAGATCTCTGAGGACGCGGAGCTGCGCTTACATAGCACCCATTATGGTTGAGCGCTGTGCAGCTCTCACGGGGCCCTGGTTCAGACCTCGATGCCGAAAGCAAATGAACAACAGAATGCACCTGATTAGAAATCCACAAGGAACCAGGAAAGTGTCCTGGTCTTTACTTTTTCTGTAGTATGAATGTTTATTTCATTATCATTCAAAGGAAGCCCCCGTTATATTTCTGATTCCCACCACTAGCTATGTCTGCTCCCCCATAGCTGCAGGACGGGGACCCCGCAGTGCCCGCTGCCTGTTGGCCCATAGCCGGCTCTGCGAGAACACTGGCTTCCTTCCTCGTAGGGCGGAGGACTAGATGAGCAGGCCAGTTTCGATAAGCAGAAGTCGCACATGTAATCGATAAAGTTAGTTCATGGACAAAAGTTAGAAAAACTGAAGATTGTTCAGCAGTACTCACTGTTTTCATTCGCTTCTCTCAAGAACATTGAGTACAGCTTAAGTCATTCAGCAGTTAAAACCATTATAGTATACGTGGCTTTTATATAGACATATATATGTATATAAGCCATATATATATATGTATATATATATATATATAAAACACATACACACTTATGTGTGTGTAGTGGCAGTAACGTAGCACTGAAAATTTAGTGAGTGGTGAGTGTCTAAGAATTCTAAATTTAATAAAACCTCTTTATTCCAAGGAACCCAGGTCTCTCTTTCTCTCAGTCCATTTTTTTCTGTGCCACCTCTCAGTACTCCCTTGAAATGCAGAGAGGTGAAGAATGACAATGTGTGGTTTTATAGCAGAAAAAATATCCTGTCGGCCTTTGCTCACTGACATTTAGGAAAAGGTAAAAATAGATCAGGTCCAGCAGGAGTGTGCTGGATCAGGTGGTGCACACCACTTTTTTTTTTTTTCTCGTTTCTACTAGATCATTACCCCTCGGCCAGGGGAGATCATTTCCCACTTCACAGAGAAATTTTTCTCTATTTTGCCGTTCAAGATGATAATAGGGTGGAATTAAGATTTCCACTAGGCTTCATAGGGTGGCCTTTTCAAACCAACTAAAAATGTGAGTTTCGTGGGTTAATTGGGACATGTAACGTCAGTGTGTCATTAATCTCAGACTTTTGCCATCTTATGCTACTTTTCTTCTTTGTTTTAAAAGCAAGAAAAAAGGATATTTACAAACTTTCATCGCCAGCTTTTTTGTTGGATCGACAAGTGGATTGATCTGACAATGGAGGATATTAGGAGAATGGAAGACGAGACTCAGAAAGAACTAGAAACAGTAAGACTTGCCATTCTACGGGAATCCCCTCATTTCCCCTGTCTGAAACTGTGTAGACCTAGAACTAGGAAGAGTGTTCCTGAAGCCTCTCCCTGCTCTGTCTGCATCACAGTGGAGTTTCTAGACACTAATGCCTGCTTCCTGGGTTCTGACTCCTCTCTTGTTGATCATCTTTCCTGAAGGTGGACTAGAGCTTTCTGGATCTGGACTTTGTCACCTGTGAACTGCCCAGTGGTTTTGTAGTTCTTCTCATGCATTACTTCTCTAACAGAAGAGGGAACAAGGACTTGTCACATTAGTTCAGTCCTTTTAGAGTCCCTTTGTCAGAAGCGAGAGCCTTTGGCTCAGTTTCTGTCATAGCTGATTGAAGTCCTGATTCCCTCTTCTGTGTACAAGGTAAGGCTGGTGTGGTCACTGATCTAGAAATGCCTCCTCCCTCCCCGATCTGCAGTGAGTGCTGACTTGTTCTGAGTTTGGGGTGCCTTCTGGGGACCCCTGGCAGGAGGTCAGCCTGCTGGGTTAGGGTTGAGCCCCTTCCAGCTCCTCCCTTTGCCGCAGCAGCCCTGTCACCAGTGGGTGTCTCCTTTCTCTCAGGGATGGATTCTTCCCTGGCTTCCTCTTGCATGTGTCTGGTTTTGGTTTTGCCCTGGGCCACGCTTGTCTGCAGTTGGCAGCAAGGCCCCAGAGGGGAAACGAACCCAAGGAATGTCTAAGGCCTGCTAGTGGTTTCCATGTGGTCACCTCGAGTCCTGCCAGCAGGCCCAGCTCTGGAAGTCCACAGGTGCGCGTGTGTTTGACCAACTCCCGCGGGTGAGGGGGAGCCTAGTTTAGCCGGGGGAGAGTGGCCGCATGTCAGGTTCTTTGGCACAGAGGGAACCTATTTCTCTGGCACATCTCATTGTAAAGAATCTGTTTTTAAAATTGCTTACTTTTGGTGATTACAACAGGTCTGCTTCTAATTAGCTTTATACAAACCTTCTGAGAGGGCTCGGACATATTTTCTTTATAAGGCAATAAAATGTCTTAACCTTATCTTATACACAAAGTAAACTATAGGCAGACTCCAACTTATGAATGGATTTTGCTCCAAATTTTTTTAGGTTGATTGTTTGAAATTTGGAGCGTATTTTGCCATAGGATCACATCATAGTTGAGTTGGTTTCTAGATCAGCCCTAGTTTCTCCTTCTCAGTGGCAGGGCTCTGAGAGCCGGGTCCTGGGTGGGATGAGGAGATGCGGGAGTCCAGGCACTCCCCAGGCCTTTGCCTTCGCGCTGGCCATGGGTGGTAAACAGGCCAGAGCAGGTCGTGGGTGCCTCCCTTCTTCCTTTCCCTGCCTCTTGCCCACTTTTGTGCCCTGTTCTCAACAGTGAGGTGCCTTCTCTGCCTCTGAGAAGCATCTGTCACCACCCCGCCCAGGTTCAGTTGCTTTCCTCCTGCCTTGCCTGGGGTCGCTCCCTCCTCCACGTGTCCCAGGCTGCGAAGACACTGCTGTCCACCTCTGGCCCCTCTGTGCAGCTGGTGTCCTGTGCATGGGGAGCTGCGTGCTGGCTTGAATTTACCTAGGCTCGTGGCATAGCTCTGCCATTGCCAGTGAGGCTTTGCCACCCCCAGAGGAAACAGAAAATGAGCTTGTTTCTGTTGGTTTGAGCCCTTGGGAAAAAGGCCTTCTCTTGGTTCTGGGTGTTTCACTGAAGAATTGTCCCACATGAAGAAGAGCAGGCAGCGCTGGCCAGCGGGTGGCTGCAGCCCTCCCCGCCTGGCCTGGGCTCTGAGTCCCAGGGAAGTTCTTAGATAGAACTCGGCAACATCTCTTCTCCACTCCTGCTGCCTGTGCAAGTTCAGTCTCCTGATGACCTGAACCCATGGCGGGACCCCCGGTGGGAACTGGTGACTGGTTGCCATCTGTGGCAGTGGCCCTGCAGGCTCAGCTGCTGCTCCACGCAAGTCTGTGACATGTGGGTTGGAAATGGGGTTCCAGAAGGTGTGGGGGAGACAGCAGCTCAGAGCCCCAGGTGATGAGCCCTGCATCCTCGCACCCACGTGGCCAGGCTGATCCGAGTCCCGTACAGCTGACCGTCTTGATATGGAGTCCTACCTAAGTTCTCTTCCTCTCAGTCACCGGGGAGTGCCTTGTTCCTCGTGGCATTTCTGCTGCCATGAGAGTGGGTCTGGGCATCTTCAGATGGTGGGGCGCACGCACACGTGAGGCCTGGTGATTTCAAGTGCTCTTTAGGATTTTGCCCTGCCCTCAGGTCCTGCCTCCCGATGCCTGGTGGCGTCACCCGATGCATTGTGATGCTCTTACTCACAGGTCTTTCAGAATCCGCTCGTTTTCTCGTGACCAGGTTTTGGTCAGGTAGAGAAGGCCTGGCACCTAGGAGGCTGGGCCCCCACAGAGCTGCTGGGGTTCAGCCCAGCACCTGCAGGGCTTCCTGGGGCAGGTGTCCCCCCTGTTCCCTGCTGGCCTCTGGGGGGTGGACGCAGTGTGTTGATGACATTTTCTTTGGTTTTGCTTGTTGAGGTCTGTCTGTCTGTAGTCTGCTGTTAACACCTGCCCTTTCTGTTGATCCTTCCCTCCTCGCTTCTCTGCCATCCTGTATCTGGGCTTGCTTGCTGCTTTTATTCACTTTCCTTTCAGCAACCTTGCTTTAAAGAACCCGAGAGACCTGGTCTCAGAAGCAGCAGAGGTCCCGTTCCACCACTCCCCCCCCAACTCCTGCCCCCATGGCTTCTGCCTGGTCTGGGGACTACAAAAGTATAAACCACACTTAGGGGCAGTTTGTCACATTGTATTGACAACGGCTCATGTACCATCAGTGTCTGTGATCAGTTCCTGTCAGTCTGTAGGCCTTTGTCAGATACAAGATGATACAAGGTCCACAGATTTTTCAGTCTGTAAGGAAAGCCTCTTTCTTGCAAGAGTCTTTAGGCCAGGAATGTTGGCGGGGCCTCAGCACTTCACTCACAGGAGGATATGGCTGTCAACAGGTGGCCTTCGCCTCATTAGCTCATCTAGGTCCTCTTTCTCCTCTTGCTTACTAACCCCTACTCAGAGTCTGATTTTAGCAGCTCATGATTTTATTTTACGTTTAGATGCGTAAGAAGGGTACCGTCCGAGGCACGTCGGCTGCTGATGTCTAGATGAGTCCCCTGTAGGGTCAGAGACAATATCACACTGTGTAAGTGAAGACCTGGATAAAAAGAATGTTTCAAACCTGTACCTGTTGGTAAGGGGGAGTTGACTTGCTGAGCACAGGGGCTCTGACCAAGTGTTAAATGTGGCTTTATTTTTAAAATATAGTAGATAGATAGTTTAGAAACAGACAGTGAACGCCTGAGTTGTCACACTGTGAGACTCAGGTGGAGTGTAGTTGTCAGGGCTCGCCCTTAGTGCCACATCAGGAGCCAGCTGCCTGTGCCCTTGCTTATCGCAGGCATCATCTTGGAAGCTGGCTAGTTCAGTAGCCAGGTGACTGGCCTGCTGCTCAGTAGGGCCCTGTGGGGTTAGTGAGGAAACAAAGAGCCCTCACCCCATACTGTAAGGGCCAGCCTTGGTGATTGATTCCCTTAAAAAAATTAGGTGAGATTTGTTTCTGTGCATCACAGAGCGCTCCTCCGTGGTTGACCTTCAGTTACCTCTGAGCTAGCTTTTCTCTGTGTAAATGCACTTTGTTTTTTTAACTAATAGCAAAAGATTTCCATGATCTTGTTTATCTAATACAACTCATAAGCCCAGATAACAGATTGCCCTAAAAGGGGAATAAGAATAAATACCACAGTCGGGACCGCACATTGGAATGAGTGTAGGGAAACAGAAGTGACGGCCCGTTCTCCCGGGCAAACCCCGAACCTCGATGTTCACGGGGGCTGGGGGCTCCCCTCTCCACCATGGCTCTTTGCTTCCTCCTTAGTAAGCTGCTGCTCCCAGTGCTAAGCAGTGACTGGGGTGCCCATCCATGGAAAGGGGTGATTGTACCAATAAGAATGGAGCGCCTCTCCCAGGCTTCTGCAGAAGCTCTCTCTTTATATAGTGTTCATTTTTTAAAAGTTTTTCTTGGGTTACTGTTATGTTATTAAGTTCTGCTAAGCTTCTGTGATTTATTTTGCTTCTAATTTAATTTTCCATCTCATGAAACAAAATGTTATGCCATTAGTAAGACCAGAATCTATTTGAACAGAGTAAAATTTTAAGGTGCAGTAGTTGGGATAAATTTTCTGCGAAAAGTTTTGCCACATTGACAGATTTTTTCTGGTGAGTGTGTGGGACAAGCTGCTGTCCTTCGTCCCCTGTGTGGTAACGCGTTCTCACTGTCTTCCGCTTTTCTTGCAGTTACGTAATCAAGGTCAAGTGAGGGGAACCAGTGCAGCCAGTGACGAGTGAAGATGAATCTGACCAGTGTCTTGCAGTGTTGAAGTTTCCAACGTGTGCTTGTGGAAACGCACACACACGCACAGGTTCCCAGCCACATGTGTCTGTGTGTGTGTGTGTGTGTGTCTGTGGCTGTATATAGAACGCATGTAGAGCTGCAGACCCGGATGCACACGTGTGTGTGTGTGTATATATGTACATACAAACATCCTGAAGGGATTAGTACACTTTCTCCAACGTACTGTATCTATCTTCAGCAAGAATGCAAAAGAAAATATTTTCAGTATATATACCTGGAACAGATTTTAATAATTATCAGAGTAAAACCATTAATGGACAAATTGACTGCGATGTGATACGAGCTGGTATGTTTCATAAATGTCAAGCTGTGGACCAACATATATAGCCTTTTGTTATTTTTCTGTTCTTTTAAATCAGTCTCTTATAAATTTTTATTTTAGTCCCATAAGCAGCAGACTCCCACAGAGAGATTCCTTCAAAACTTTTTGGTACTCCCATGAATCTGGAATGTCAACTCTGAATGTATTTATAACTATTTATTTCTGGATGGTCATTATCTTCCAGCCAAATTTGATGATATCTATTAAATAAGGAGTAAAGTTACAGGCCAGTTTTTACTAGTTTGAGGGGAAAATCCTTTTAAAAAATTTTTTCTGGTTTTTATTGGAGTTTTGTATTTTAAATTTCAAGTATTTTTCTACATCAAACCTAGAAAAATGAAGATGACAATTTGTGATTTATAGTAAACACTAGAACATTTTCAGGCTCGATAAAGAAGTCAGTCTGAACGGTATCGGAGGCCGCATAGAAAGGCTGGGTGCCAGCGCCTCCCAGGGTCTCATTTCTGAAGCGGCCCTTTTCTGGGGTTAATGCAGAGACCGCGCGGACGGTCCAGAAGCCTCGCGGCCGGGCCGGGCGGGGCCGGGTGACAGTGTGCTCTTTCTGTGTGGCAGTGCACTCGGATGGGGGGCTGCCTTCGAGGTGGGATGGTGCAGTGCCGCTCGGGGCCCTGGGGGGCTGGTGACCCCGACTTCTGGATCTGCTCTCTAGTAGGACACCCAGTGACATTCCCTGAGGAGGCATCAGGAAAGTGCTGGTTAGACGTCACTGCCACTTTTTTTTTTTTTTTTTTAAAGAAGGAGCAGTGGCTGGTTAGATCTTTATCCGCTTTCTCTGTCTGGATGCAGCTTTTCCCCTGTCAGGCCTGGAAGCTTGAGTGCAGTGATATCCTTGAGGCCTTCAGGCCACAAACTGTCGTCTGTAACCCCCTGCTCCTCCTAACCCCACCCCGGCCTGCCGTCAGAGCGCGGTAGTCATCCGATTTGCTGACAGTCCTGCCCTTGTTGCTCTGCGCTTTCCCACGTGTCCTGTGTCCCGACCCGAGTGCTGCCGCATTGAGACCCTGGTACCTCAGAAGCACACCCCGCGTCTCAAACGTCCTCCGCGTACTCAGGATACAGACCATGTTTCCTCTCGGGGCTCTGAGGGTAATGGGTCTGTCAGAGCGTGATCGTCACCTGCAGAGCATCGGGTGCGAGGAAGGCGATGCTGATTTGTGGAATGGAGAGTCCAGGCCTCTCTCCTAACAAACCTAACTCTTGCTGGCATCTGCAGTCTCGTTGGGAGCTTGGGCACACATGGAAATGAGAGCCCGGCACATGGATTTTAATGTCTTTCTAACAACTGTGGAGATTTGAGGGAATGTGTGGTGAATGTAAAATACCTAGTTTACTTGGCAGTCTCTTGTGTAAATTACAGTAAAACAAAGTAAATGAAATTTAAACAAAAAATAAATTTGATCACAAAATGCCACTTGTGTGCTCGAGTGGTTGTTTCCCTGATGCTTCGGCTGGTGCGGAACGCTGCAGCCCGCTCTACGGGTCTTTCTAGAATTTTGTGGTGTGCAGCACTCCCACTCTGGGAAAAAGAAAGGGGAAGAAATGGGTTTTGTGTTTTTATTGCAAACTTCTTCTGGAAAGGTACGCGTGACATACTAGGATGTTACTCTTGGTTTCTGAAATAATTTTCTGTCTTTAAAAGCTCAGCAGTAAACTAAAGGGGTTTTTAAAACATTTTTTTTCCAGTGGGGGGAAATATGGAAATCGAGAATATTTTTTTGAAGTGAGATCCTGACTGTTCAAGATCGTGGCATTGTGGTCTGGGGCTGATTCGCCTCTCCTCTGGACAGTGTCTTCTCTGGTCTCTTCTTTCTGGATGAGCGATGACTGTTCTGTGGTTTTAACTGCTTTCTAGAGTACGCAGCCTTGGGAGAGGTGGGCATGAGGGTGAACAGATTCAGTACAGATTGCTGCATTTCCAGAGTGTTCGGGTTGATTTCCGAGGTGAGCCTTCTGGTTTTCTATTTCAGATGAGGTGTGTGCGCTCATGGTGATGGTCTGTCGCTCATGCTCTCGTCGGTCTAAGCAGTCATGGGTCCGGCACTCAGTATTACTAGAGGGTCTAAGATGAATAAAAGGAATTGTGCAGCCCAACATGGGCGACAGAACTAGGGACAGATAAATTCCAAGTCAGCGTGATAGTCGAGTAAGAGGCGAGAGATGGTAGAAAGGGACGTTAGACACTATAGTCATGGTACAGACAAGAAAGCAGACGTCTGGCCCAAGGCAGCAGGGACCCAAGGAGCCTCAGGAGCCAGCTCTTGGGCCACAGCACAGTCAGCACACCCCTGGCTCCTCCTCACATCTTGGACTCCTTATGTGGAAATGGAGGTCAGGACCCCCAGCCCCAAGGCTACCAGGGCCAGTTGAGACATCGCGGCCTCTAACAAATGGCAGCGCTCTCTTCCTGTCCCACTCATTTACCAAACCGCCTCCTACTGAACTCACTTGGATCTCCTGTCTTTGTGCGCATCATAAATGGCTTTTAAAGTCGACCTCCCCGGCCCTTCTTCAGCTTGGTAAATCTGAAGCCCAGCTTCCTGCACTGACCTCCTCTGAGGAAGCGAGAGACTCCACCAGCATTTTTGTCCATCTTGTCCTAGCAGCTTGGTTGCAAGGGCCTGGTGTGGGAGTTCTGTGATCCTTCATCTGGAAGGAGAGAGTTCACACTTGGTTCTTAGACCCTCAAATTTGGTGTCCTGGGTGCCAGAGAAAGGAGAAGTTCTGGCTCCAGAATGTGTTTTTTCTAGGTGGCACTGTTGACTGTAGAGTTGAGGACTTGGGGTGGTTGGGAGGGAGGGAGAGTGCCAAGGCCAAGTTCCAGGTTGTCCTGCTGAATTGGAGCTCCTGCGGGAATGGGGTGCTTCCCAGGAACGCTGCCAGTGCCGCTCGGGGGTCACGCTTTCTGCTTTGGAGACATTGAGCAGCGGCAGTGCCCTTCAGAACCAGTCCTCTTCCCAGACGGCACTAGAAGAAGCGGGAAGTGCAGCTCTCCAGCAGCCCCAAGGCCAGGCAGGCCACAAGAATCCGTACCCGTCCGTCTGACATGCTGACCCTGTGTCTCATCCTTCCTCCCATCTGACACCGTCATGTTGTGGGCCGCTTTTTTGTTCAAAGGAGACTTTAGAACTCTGTTGGCCCTGCTGCTCCCCCAGGGTGGCTTGCCCTCCCCGGGAGGGGCACCGCTGCTTCGTGACTCCTCCCCACATTTCTCTTACCAAGTTAAAATGTGTCCCTGGACAAAAGAAGAACATCCCCATCCCAGGTGGGCTCTTCTCATTGTCGAGAGCTGGGTCTTTGGGGTCCCATGTCTTGAGTAACTGATCTGTTTTGCTGGAGGCACCAATTTGAAATAATCAGCTCGTGACACAGTGGTGCTCCATCCTGGCTGCAGCTTAGAGTCCCATGAGGAGGGACCTTTAAAAAGATCCCCTGGCCCACCTGTCTTGTCTTGGCTTTGGTTCCAGGTGCCCCTTTTTCAAAGCACAGGCAAAGAGCTCAGAGGACTGCTGCCCTCTCTTCTTGGAAGACCCCTGAAATGGACACGCTGTCTCTGTAGCCGTGATTCCTGCCCACTCCTCAGAGCCCCGGGGCCAGCCAGGGCCGCTTCCCGCAGGAAACCTCCTCTGTCTTGGGGTGCCGTCGGGGCTGCCGCAGCCCACGCAGCTTATTAAGTCTCCAGTGTCTTGTCCCACATTAGCTTGGGCACTCCTCAAGGGCAGGTGTGACAGTTGTTCCCCAGAGTCACCTCCCTTGTTGGAAACTCTGTTCCTGGACCTGCTCCTTTTTGTCCACAAGAGTTATCTGCTGACCTGTGCCCAGGCCTCTTTGTGTCCTGTGGGCTGAGTGGACAATCAAGAGTTGTTGTCTCCGACCTCAGCAGCCAACAGGCTGTGGTAACTCAGTGGCTGATGGGACAAAGTTGATAAGAGAAGTGGGAAGCCACGCCCATGCTGCCTCCTCCATTTCCAGGCACCTGCGAGGCAGGTCGGGGACTAAGGAAGTCCTAAGCCAGACTGCTGAGGCCATCTTCCACCCCCAGAATGTACCGCTGCTGCAGTCAGTAACCTCGCTACAGACTGGCTGCCGAGCCAGAAGTCCATGTCCGTCCCCAAGTCTCCCAAAACGCCCTCAGATGGAGGTGGAATCCTGCCAGCCATGTATGTCCTGGTCCACAACATCCAAAGATCGTCTGATGGGGGTCCACCTACTTCCTACAAAAGGCTAAGCAGTAAATATGTCGGGCTGTGGCCATCTGGGCTGTGCGAGCTCCTCAGCTCTGCCCTCGCTGTGCAGAAACAGCCAGAGATGGTGGTATGTAAGCCAGTGTCTGTTCCAGCAAAACGTGAGACACAGGCTGGATTTGACCAGTGAGGCCGGGTCTGGTTTGCCAGGCCCCCAGATGGGGTGTTGTGAGGTAACCTTCATCAGACTCCTCCACCGTCAGCTTCTAGAGCATCCCTGTCACCTGCACAACCAGGACCAGTGACCTCTTTCTGCTCCTGGGAAGGCTGAGCCAGGGTGCTCGCCAGCCTCATGGCCGCAGGCACATAAGTCTCAAGTGTAAGCAGGCCACTCTCAATGCACATGTTGTCCATGGAAATGGCTCTCAGCGTGCTTCCCAGCGAGACCACCACAGGTCAGAGGGCAGAATCAGGACATGTGGACAGAGCCTTGCCACAGGAAATTCAGTGAAGTAAAGACAGTTCTGGCTAGTTAGGCTCTCCTCCCTCTCCTCTCCCCCCCCCCATCTCTCCCTCCCTCCCTCCCTCTCTTCCTCCCCCCTGCCCCCCCTTCCCCCTTCTTTCATCCAGCGTCTGCAGCTGTTCATCTCTAGATGCTCTGCTTGGTGACAGATTCATAAATGTCCAGTTCCCTCCGTAGGGTACAGACCTGGTTCTGGGTGCCAGTGCTGGGCTCTTCACCGGGCTTGGTGACCCGCCTCCTGACAGGGCACTGTCAGGCCAGGCATTTCCCGAGTCCCCGAGACCCCACCTTGGGTTGGCTCTGCTTACTCCCCAGGTTTCTGAGAAGCGTTGAAGTGCTGTGACGGCTCCGCCCTGTTGATCCCTTATATGTCCTGACACCACCTGCTGATGAGCAGAACTGCCCTGCACTCCAGAGGGCGGGCGCTCCTGGAGTGGGACGAGGCTCGCGGTGTTCATTACCGTATGTGCTAAACGGGGGGGCCTCGCCTCGGGTAGCCCGGAATACTGACAGCGCTTCCCCAGCACTGTCCCCACTTTCCCATGGCCCATGAGGCCACCATGAGGTTCTGTGAGTGCTTCCCATCCAGAGTGCTAGCTGCTGGCCTTCCAGGAGAGGGGGACTGGGAGGCCACAGCAGCCACGTGGAGCTCCCACTCCTTCAGGTCAGGGGGCGATGCGCTTTTTCTGCACAGGACCAGATAATAAATAGTGTGGGCAATGTGGGTCGTGGACCCTTGGTTGGTGCTACTCGTCCCTGCCTGTGACACCAAAGCAGCCTTGGACATGACCTAAGGGAGCCAGCCTGGCTCTGCGCCAGTGAAGCTACTCAAATAGGCGGTGGCTGGATTGGCTCAGGGCCGTCCTTTGCCGGCCCCTTTTCTAGGTTTTTCCCACGGTGTCTCAGCTCGTCAGATTACAAAGAACCAAACGGGCCCAGCCAGCTCTTCCCGGCACCTGCTGTGTGCCAGGCACCAAGCATAGCCCCGTGCCTCCGGAATCTCCACAGCCCCTAGACATCGGCGCCGTCAGTCACCTGCTTCACAGATGCAGAAACGGGCACAGGTCAGTGTGGTCAGTGCCGCAGTCGTATCGCTGACAGTGGCAGAGCCAGGGTTGACGCCGAGAGCCACCCGGGACCATGGCCTCCTCACTGCATTTTTTTAAGCCAGAGACTTTGATTTAAACGGAGATTTAAGGGCACAGCCAGCAGCCTCGGCTGTGGCGTTGCCCAAGGGTGGGTGTGAGCCGAGCCCTGTGGTGAAGAGTCCCCCTGGGCCCCTGTGTCCAGACACCACTGAGGAGCAGCCCCTGCGCCTGGCTATTCCCGAGGCCAGGAGTGCGCATGTCCCTCTCGGCGGCGCCCTCAGTGCCCCTTGCCTTCTGCTTCCACCCAGGCCGCCTTGGTAGGCAGGGATCCTGCCCCTTGAGTTTGATTTGTGTCACTGCTGGGAATGTGGGGGGTCAGGTTCTCCATACCCTGGCCTCCTGTTGCCACCACGTACCTAGGGGTGGTTCTCAGAGCACCTGCTGGAGGGGTCCTCCTCCTGCCTGCTGCAAGGGGAAGCTTCCAACGCTGAACACTCGGGGAACCACGAGGCAGTCTCAGGAGCAGGTGGAATTCTGGGTAGTTGGCCCACCCCAACAGCTCTGCCCCCACCCCCAGGAGATCCTTATTTCAGACCCCTCAGCCCGTGAGGCCTGCAGC